GGGGATAAAACCCTAGTAGGGAACCACCTCCAGACCAATTTACACTCACCTGCGACAAAATAGGGAGGTTGTGTGCTTGATTTGCACAGTGCAACTCAAGTTGTAAGCATCTTGCATGGGACCATCTGATGCACAAGACTTTTCTCTTGATTAGTAAAATGATCTGATATCAGACATTTGAGTTCCTTTGCAGCTTAAGAAGTTAATCCTATTTATACAAATAAACTATACACCAACAATGTGTGCAAGGCAATTAAGTGTATCCTTGGAAAATTTTCTCTGAGATTATGCAGAGTTGTTTACAACTATTTTGTTCAAGCCTAGTGACTTATTTCAGTGCATGAAAATCATCCCAACTTTTAATCGTGTCCTGACAAACTGGAATCATGTAAACAGCACATTTAGCCATTAAGTTGATTTGCACCCTAATTTTCCTACTTATATTATTTGACTCTGTCTAACGTCAGAAATTTTATTAAGCAAGGGGTGCACTGGCAGCAGGGGGTGCACTGTCTAGCGTTGTACAGTAAAATACTCAAGGGCACAGTACAACCTAACGGTTTAATTTGTTTTTTTTTGTAGCAAAATGGTTTAAGTTTTATATCTGAATTCTTATTTTTTTGCTTTGTTTTACAGATCATTACTGAACATGCTAATGAAATATTGATTTATAAAATATCATGTTACCAAGATGACATGCCTCGAAGAGCAATACATGAGGGAATACCTCTATTTCTAATCAAATTACAACAATACACCAAAGACAGTAGTTCTCGGATGAAATGAAAGGATTGATCAAATGTTCATGGCCAGCAGTGGATATTTGTGACTATTATAAATGGATACAAAGAAACTATGATGGATAAATATGGCCCCGTAATGGTATTCAGTTAATGGACATACAAAGGTCACAGAAATGTCTATTTTCAGGTACTGTTCTTTCTTGTTTGCCTGCGAACAGGCTGTAGATACCGGCATAAATCCTGGCGGTCTAAATGTTCAGTATATTTACAAATTCGATCTATTTTCTGTTCAGTAGACTTTGATAGCTTGAACGAAAGTTTATAACGATGATTTTCTCTGCAAAAACTGTACTTTCGAAATTCGTCTGCTTCTGAATTTGATAACCGATCTGAAAAAAAAAGGAACATTTGAGTGTATGGTTATTGCATGGTTCTATATATATATATTCTATATACTGTCTTTGTGCACACGCATAACAAGTGCAGCAACACAACAGTTTAGACAGGGTCATGAGGCAGGATGTGTACAAGAAAAGCTTTGCCAGAGTTTTGTCTTTCGAAATAGAACGACGATTGGAAATTGCCGTTTGATTCTTTGTAATATCTTGTCGCTTGTAAGTGAAAAAGAAATTTGTCACTTTCCTCATCTAAACATTTTTTTTCTTCAAAAAACTGGCATCGTTTGTCTTGGGGTTAGGGGGTACAAATGGTACCCATAGCTTAGAGGGTGCAAATGGTACCCGTAAGAAGACTTGGTGGAAATCATGTTGGTCCTTTGGATCGGCGAGAATAAGACAATTATGGTGGCAAAGTTTTTTTAAACATTTTCTCTCCCGTAGTAAGGTAAAGCATGTATTTTCCTGGTAGCCGGTCTTACTTCATGAAAAAATAGTCCGCTACCAGTGACTAGGTCCCCTCTCTTATGGCGGTTATTCCGGCTCAATATCTTTAGGGATATTCCTTTTCAGGGCGGTTGCATGCGGATAATATGGTCCGTCGCGTGCGCAAAATAGTTAGGGAGTTAGACAGTTTAGAAGCGTCCAAACTGCGCAATATACGACACTCACATGAAACGTAAAATACTTTATAATAATTCACAAAATTGCGAAAACAAAAAATTGATAATTTTGCAATTTGAATTGTGCGTTGCTGGCAAATGCCTTTAGATTCAAGTTGTAACGACAATTTACAAGCGCATTAAGTGTAAATACGGCATTATTTCTAATGAAAAGACCGCCAGGGTTAGAGTGTTTTTATGTTGGTTTATTAAGGAGCAAACTCGCTTTTAAAAAAAAGAAATGTGTATTCAATATCGCTCCAGATTTGTTCCTGAACATGGTCGCCATGAAAACACTCTGTAGAGTAAGCTCAGCGACGTACAGTCATAATATAGCGTCGTCGGAAGTTTGCATTCAGCATTTTCGTTCAAAATTGAACGTACATTATGCTATGCTAGGGTTGCGTACAATCGGTACCCACACGATGTGTAGCAATTCTAAAGGAATAACTAATACGTATAAATAGGGTGTGCGCACGAAGTTTTTTCGCGGGCCTTTAACTTTGGGGAAAATAATAAAAAAAGCAGTGCCCGTGGTCGGGGCTGAATAGTACTGTGGAAGATTGGGTTGGAAAATTTGCAATTAAGATCTGTATTTTTGGGCAATTGTTACTTTTTGAAAAATAGTATCCTACTGATGTAAAATAACATCGGAAGGGTTTGGCAACAATGATGTCCAAAGAGTATGTTAGCCCTAAACTTTATTTCATAAAACGATTTATCTTTGTATATACTCAATTACAAGACAATTTAAAGTTCGAGTAAAAGTTTAATAACAATTGATATAAATTGAAACTCATTCTGGCTCAAATTTTATTTCATAAAATGATTTTTCTCAGAATACTCGATTACATGACAATTCAAAAAGAATATTTAAAGTCAAAATATTAATCATAATTCAAATTCAAAATGACTTTTGGGTCACATTTTATGCCTACTCATATGGTTGTGTCCACAGAAGCCTGAGGTATTATATTAGATACGAAATACAACGTTTTTAAAAAAACAACCTTATCAAAAATCAGTTAAATATACTCGCTTTTTAAGCAAAAGCGAAAAGATTATTTTTGCCACAATTTTACGGTAAACCCAAACGTGGTGACGGAATTTCCCAGCATATTTATATGTGCTGAAATTGAACTAAATCGAGAAATTTAACCAAAGTATAATTTTGCCACTCACCGGGTTTGAGTATCTTTTGTGACAATATGGATACTACCATGAAGATTAGATGTTTGATTAGTACTAAGTAAGTGTTTTCGTCAAAAACACTACTGAAATCATGGCTTTGACAGGGTTGACTAAGTTAGCCTAAAAACCCAATAATTTCCCATTCCATGTTTGTAATATGCATTCAATATGATAGATACGGCAGGCCTTCTACTCTTTCTTCTACTCGATAAATTGGAACAGAATACTGAAATTGAGTATACTAAAAGACTTTAATGAAATAAAATTTGGGGTTAATGCATATGTCGTTTTTCGTCTTGCGTAACGTCAGTTGTGTGTAACTTTTATGAAAAAAATCAAAGTCTTGAGATTTTGTTTTTCAACAAGTAATAATGGTCTAGAAATACAGATTTATATTGCACATGTTAGTTTCTTCAGTAAGGTCTCTAAACATTGGCACAACTGCTTGTTCCCCATGCATAAATTTTTAACTAGTTTTTGGGATTGGATTTATTCAAATTTGAGGTAATTTTGAACACATGTTGGTATGTTACTCATTATGATATGAGTAAAATATTGTTCGTTTATACATTGTTCTAGTTTCTATAGCTTTTTATTTGTCTTATCAGTTGAAATATATGTTGTGATTGTTTACGAAATATATTGAATTATTTGTGAATTGTTCGTTAATTTTATGCATGACGAAACCCAAAATTTATAGTTTGGTGGTCACAACAAATTTGAGCATAAAAATGTTAAAATTGTACACTAAAACACTAGGTATTATATTCGAAATCACTGGAACACGACTAGTTTTAAGTATGCTTGAACTGAATTTCATACATGCATGATTTCAAACGTTTTTAAACAGATAAAAGTCTAGTAGGACCTGTATATGAGTTTGTATGCATTTCATTTAGCACAGGTAATCTCAACTGTTTTAGGGTAAAATGACCATGGCGGTCAACATGGCATATGTGCCAAAAGCTGAATCCGGGACGAAAGTCCTGAAAATGACCCCGCCCTGAAACGGCAGTGTCGACATAGCTCTAACTTCAGAAAACAAAAAGCGATAGTCTTTCTGAAGTGCTTATAGTGTTTAGAAGGGTTGCTTTTAGGAGTGGTCATTGGAAGAAAAATTTGTCTAAGTATAATATTTTACAAGAAAATGACCATGCACCACCCCAGGTAAATTGCTGATTATGCATAAAATAACTAATATGCCTGGCAGAAATTAAATATTCTTATTTCCTAAAAAAAATTATCATGGGGTTAAAAACTATGCTTAATTTAATATAAATATTGTTGATTTCATAAGGATTGTCATTGTTTTCTTTAAATATAATACATTTTATTTCACTTACCCCCCACGAAAACGCGATTTCAGCCATATTTTGCCGTCTTGTTTCCTTTTTATCGCCGAATCACGCAAATATCATCCAGTTATTGTACTTTTCATAATCATAAATGGCTGAAGAAGATTTCAAAGAAGGTTTCATCCACTTTTGAAACAGTGCAGTGTATTTTATCTTCGATAATGTGTCCTTCGATATCTCGTCAAATTGCCGCCATTTTAATGGCTCGCCGCTTCTCTGCCCGATAAATGCCACTTCTTCGTTTTCATATGTATTTAGATTACATTATCCAAGAGTACTTCATTGTAGAATAGTCCCAATCCAAAAATTGGAAATATTATTTGTACTTGGGAGGAAAAAACCTCCCAGTACAATTGTCCTGTTAGAATTCAAAAGAAATAATTTAAAAGTCACGCGCAAGTTCGCGAAAACACCTCGTGGGTTACATAACGGTGGAGGGGGGGTGAATATTTTCACGAAACGCTTGTTCGCCACCACAGGCCACAGCAACCTAAGTTAAGTACATTATATTTATTGTATATTTGTGATTTTTGATAAAAACCGTAAATATTTGCGTATATTTATCATCAATTATAAAAATACAAAAAATATAATACATTTAGTTAATTAGTTAGGTTGCTGTGGTGGCGAACAAACGTTTCGTGAAAATATTCACCCCCCTGTTATGTAACCCACGAGGTGTTTTTCGCGAACTTGCGCGTGACTTTTAAATTATTTCTTTTGAATTCTAACAGGACAATATTTGTACTGGGAGGTTTTTTCCTCCCAAGTACAAATAATATTTCCAATTTTTGGATTGGGACTATTCTACAATGAAGTACTCTTGGATAATGTAATCTAAATACATATGAAAACGAAGAAGTGGCATTTATCGGGCAGAGAAGCGGCGAGCCATTAAAATGGCAGCAATTTGACGAAATATCGAAGGACACAATATCGAAGATAAAATACACTGCACTGTTACAAAAGTGGATGAAACCTTCTTTGAAATCTTCTTCAGCCATTTATGATTATGTAAAAGTACAATAACTGGATGATATTTGCGAGATTCGGCGATAAAAAGCAAACAAGACGGCAAAATATTGGGGGTAAGTGAAATAAAATGTATTATATTTAAAGAAAACAATGACAATCCTTATGAAATCAACAATATTTATATTAAATTAAGCATAGTTTTTCACCCCATGATAATTTTTTTTAGGAAATAAGAATATTTAATTTCTGCCAGGCATATTAGTTATTTTATGCATAATCAGCAATTTACCTGGGGTGGTGCATGGTCATTTTCTTGTAAAATATTATACTTGGACAAATTTTTGTTCCAATGACCACCCCTAAAAGCAACCCTTCCAAACACTATAATCACCTCAGAAAGACTATCACTTTTTGTTTTCTGAAGTTAGAGCTATATCGACACTGCCGTTTCAGGGCGGGGTCATTTTCAGGACTTTCGTCCCGGATTCAGCTTTTGGCACATATGCCATGTTGACCGCCATGGTCATTTTACCTTAAAACAGTTGAGATTACCTGTGCTAAATGAAACGCATACAAACTCATATACAGGTCCTAGACTAGTTGTTAACAATTCCTAAAATTTGTTTATAGTAAAACAGCCTGCTCAGCACTCACTACTCACGATGATTTTATTTAGAAATGCAGTTACCAGGAAAGGAACTGATTCTAAAATATGTAAAATTAAAAGCATTGGCTATTACGATGTGAAGACAAGGTACAAACTTTTATAGTTGGTATTTGTTATAAATCCTATAAATAAACCGATTCAACAATAATTTTGCCTCGAATTTGCATATTCTATGCTGCATGTTTATATTTTATTTTTATAGTATAAAAATAAAATTGTAATACTATGAAATAAAATACATTTCTGTTTATTGACCAGTACTTATTTAATGTCTTCTTCATCCAGCGGTCAGAGTAAATTTCTACTTCTAGCAAGTAAATATTTGACAAGCAGTCTGGAATGAGCACAGGACTTTTAATGCATCAGCCAAATCCAAGTGTGCCCATCCCCCTCGCCCAGCCATTTTCCTGTAAAGCACATCCCGGGTGTTGGGCATTTCCACTCGAACCTTAGCTCCGGCGGGGCATTTGAAATTAATAATTTGGATTCTTGCACTTCACTTGTGGAATTAATATTAGAATGTTAGGGTTTGTAATCCAAGTGAGAATATATACATGTATATATTTTATAATCCAAGTGAGAATATTTTGTAATCCAAGTGAGAATATACAAATGTACCGGTATAGTACATGTATATATTTGGTGTATATATTTTGTAATCCAAATGAGAATAGTTTGTAATCCAAGTGAGAATATGCAAATGTATATATTATCACTTGGATTACAAACCCTAATATTCTAATTTTAATTCCACCAAGTGAAGTGCAAGAATCCAAATTATTGAAGTCCACCTTATCACAACCCGCACACCCGATTACCTAAATATACATGAACTTACGGTTAAAGCTCGACAGCTGGTCTCTTGTAGCTCAGTTGGTTAGAGCACTGCACCGGAATCGCAGGGCCGTAGGTTCAATTCCTACTAGAGGACCTTGTGCTGCATTTTTCGCATTCGTTCCTTGTTAGGTCTTAAAATGTATATATTCTCACTTGGATTACAAACCCTAACATTCAAATATTAATCCCAACAAGTGAAGTGCAAGAATCCAAATTATTGAAGTCCACCTTATCATAACCCGCACACCCGATTACTTAAATATACATGAACTTACGGTTACAGCTCAACAGCTGACTTCTGTAGCTCAGTTGGTTACAGCGCTGCACCGGAATCGCAGGACAGTAGGTTCAATTCCTACCAGAGGACCTTGTGCTGCATTTTTCGCAGTCGTTCCTGGTTAGGTCTTAAAATGTATATATTCTCACTTGGATTACAAACCCTAACATTATAATATTAAGTCCACCAAGTGAAGTGCAAGAATCCAAATTATTGAAGTCCACCTTATAACCCGCACACCCGATTACCCAAATATACATGAACTTATGGTTAAAGCTCAACAGCTGGCCGAGCTGTAGCTCAGTTGGTTAGAGCGCTGCACCGGAATCGCAGGGCAGTAGGTTCAATTCCTACCAGAGGACCTTCTGCTGCATTTTTCGCAGTCGTTCCTG